TCATGAGCTTGATCTGTATTCTGAACTGTAACAATGCGTGCAATGCTCCGAAGAGCATGAAAGGATATGTTTTGGCCAACATGTCATAAACGAGCTTTACCAATACTGTGGTCTGAAAGATAATCAGTTGGAGATGTCGGTTGTAGGGAAAAGAATTTGGTCCACTGTGTACTTGAAAACATGTTGCATAAAGGAAGTGGGTGTGTTGTGTAGGTCGTTTCTGGGTGGAATGAACAGAGATTGAAGAACCGTCATCAGCAAATGGTCTGGAATGTTTAGTCATAGGACCGTGGGCGGCCTGACCTGAGGCAGGTGGGCGATCCGAAAACCATTGCACCGTATTTTGGGAAGCCAGACACATAGTTAAAGGTGTGCAAGAGGAAGAGGCACTCCCTAGGAACCCCACAGAGTGGGATGAACCCCAGCACACTTCCCCCTTACCTAGAAACCATAATGCCAGAGGGGAGGACCCCAGAGGCTACAAATGGGACAAGGAAAAAGGAGGGATGGGAGAGGGAAGGAAAGGGAAAGGGGGGAGGGATGAGGAGGATGGGACAGGGAAGGGGGGACTGGGGGGTAATTAGGTTCGGTCTGAGGAAGGAGACCAAAAGGTCTAATTCCTCAGACCAAGAGCCTCTTTACCATGCCAAGGAGCCCCCCTCCCCTGAAGAGGCTAAAAAGGAAGAAAGTCTAAACATTTGACAAAGAAATGAACCTCACAACCAACCTCTCTTCTGAGGTGCATAAATTGGATAGCTTCAACGGTGTATGCATAGTTGACTAATATATGGGATACTCTCAGGAACCTAAACAGGGAATCATTCAAAAACTTGTGTCGTGACTACCATGTCAGTCCTTGAGTATATAACATCAGTGTGGAGTCTATACTATCTAATTACCAAAAATCTCAGAAATGTCAAAGGTTCTCCACCTAACAGGTGCTGGGGAAAAATGCAAACAATGTCACTGGACGAGCAGATTGTCAGCAAGAAAATTACCATATTATTCCAAGTACTCCTGGGTATTATTAACTAGTTAAACTATGTCATTAACATGAGAACAACGAAACACTGATAGAAGCTTAACATCTAAAGGAATCAAATAGACATTAAGTCCCTCTTCAGAGTAAAGGAAATTAAGGAATCACAATTAAAAACACAGACTACTGCAATTATTGAGCAAATGTAATGACAGATGAATGATTGAACTCAATGTGAGTGATATATTAATGAAAATTGAAAAAGCCATAATGAACATGAAAAATACATGTACAGTATACAATAAAATACTGACTGTATTGAAAAGGGGGATGACCAAGCAATTATAGCCAATTTTTTTCAACACACTGGCCATCTCCCACCGAAATATTCACATTATAACAATAATCATGTGAAATAATGAGAAATTCGCATGCTACACTGGTTAGCTTCAAAATAACCATCATCAAAACTATTGTATCTCTGTGCCTCTGGCAAAGCAGTGATAGTATAAATGATGGTGAAAGTTTCTTTTTCAGGTCACCCTGCCTTGGTGGGAGACGGCCAGTGTGTTAAAAATACACCTCTCTCTCAACATATCGGCTGTCTTCCTCCGAGACAGGGTGACCCAAACAGAAACACTTTCACCATCATTCACACATAATCACTGTCTGTGTAGATGCACCCAGATACAACAGTTTAGGTGCCACACCAAACAGCCAATATCTCAAACCCCTCCTTTGAAGTGCAGGCATTGTACTACCCACCTCCAGGACTCTAGTCCGGCTAACCGGTTTCTCTGAATCGATTCACAAAATATCACCCTGCTCAAACTCCAACAGCTCATCAAGTCCCCAAAAACTATTTGTCTTCATTCACTCCTAACACACTCAGACATGCCTGCTGCATGTCCAAGCCCCTTGGACACAAAACCTCTTTTTACCCCCCTCCCTCCTGCCTCAGTGGGAGACAAGACAGTTCGTTGAGGAAATGTCGAACTTGATTCATTCTAGATGTTGGTTCAATAACCAAAATGGTTAACAACCAAACCAATTTTTACCATGAAGAATTATGTAAACAGAATCAATCCTTTCCAGACCAAAAATGACAATATAATTATTAATATTAATGCACCAACTACTATATAAAACAATGTACAAAACTGTAAAACAAATACTAAATGGAAATTTAACTGAAATACCGTTCAGAAAATAAAAATTTAACTGCCTCTTAACTGTCAGGAGAGCTAATAGCAAAATTCTACCAGCTTCAAATCTTGTGGGAGAAAGCTGGTAGGCCTATGAGAGAATGGGCCTGCACAGTGCGCAGAGCATAAAAAAAAAATCATGCAGCACACAGTGCAGACCATGTTTTTGGTTTAAAACGGCGACTTTGCGGTGTACGTATTTTCGTATGGTATTTATGGTTGTATTCTCGTTTTCTTGGTCTCATTTGATAGAATGGAAGATATAACACAGAAATGTAAATGACTTTCAATGGTTTAAAGAATAAAAGTAGCTTGAAATTGAGCTCAAAGTAGCAGAAATGTTTGATTTTTGCAGATGTTCAAGAGTAAACAAATCACATCGTGCATCCAATACACGTCAACTGATGATTCTAATATGCATCCACAAGTGGGCTGATATTATTTATACAATTATTACAATTATGCAGTAGTCTGAATAACAGTAAATCATCTATTTTTTACGTGAATAAAAATTCAAAATAAAAACGAGAGTAATGTAAGAGGGGCCTGGAGATGTGACTAATAAATAGATAAAATGTTATTTTAGTGCCAGGAATGTCTACAATGTTTATTCTAGCCCCTATTTTGAAATTGACTTTTCTTGAATTTTGTGTGAAATTGGCCAAATTAGTAAATTCTGATTACTTTTTTGTGTAGTCGAAATAGGTAAATGGGCCATTTCTTGTACTCATTTGACAGAACAAAAGGAGTTCTAGTGAAATAGCTATGAGTTTGGTCAAGTGGAATGAAGGAATTGGCCCAAAATAGGGCTCTAAGTGGGCGAAATTGCCAATGTGTAAATACTGCCGAGATTGTTAACTTCATGAGAGCGTAGTTCTCTAAGTTATTCCATTTTGGTTTCATTACCTTCGGAAAAAGATTATCATTTCATAAGAATTTTTTTTTATTTTAACCCATCAACTGTCCAAACGTAGATATACGTTTGCACTGCTAGTGCTCCAAACGTAGATCTACTTTTTTTTTTTACATTTGAAAGCACGTAAAATAAAACGTAGATCTACATTTGGAGCGCTAGCAGTGCAAACATAGATCTATGTTAGGACAGTTGAAAGGTTAAATTCTTCAACACTACGAGCAAGTTTGCGAGCAGGGATCTCGACACACAAAGGGTTAAACAATGAATTAAATGTATCCGAATGTAAGATTAAAATAGTTAATGAAAGTATTGGAACTCAAGAGATTAATATACTGATCTCTATTAGGCAAACCACCAATAATTTTACTATGGATTTACAGTATATTATATAATAACAGTGGGTGCTAAAAGATAGTTTTTTGTTAAAAAGTCAGAGTCTGCATCAAAGGTAGGACTTTCAGCAAAGAGGCCAGATAGAATAAGTGTGCTAGGGTTGTGGAGACATTGTAAAGTAATTCTACATGCTTGTTGATAGACAGGACAATCTATTAAGAGATGGTGAACTGACAATTCACCCTGACAATCCTCACAGAGCAGTGCCAGGCATTTCTCCATGAGATATTTGCAAGTGATGAGAGTCGCCAATACATAAGCAAGAGAATGTAGTCTCCCTAACATGACAACAGTGGTGCGAAGATGGCCAGAAGCCCAAACTAGGTTTGACGAAGTAATTTATTGTGGACCAACTCGGACCACCACTGTTGCCAACCGTTGTACGGGTGTCAAGAGATTATTGTAAAATAACTTGAGAAAGAAAGACCCCTGTATGAAGTTGGGAGGTTATGAACTGCTGACCAAGAAGTGGAGTCTCCCTGTTCATTGCCTCAAACATCATGTTTAGAGACCCAAAAGAAAACGTCTGTATTTACTAGAAATATGGCATAACCAAAGATGTACACTTAGTATAATGGGAAGGGAATAAAATATCTGGATAGCCTGTAATGTATTGTAGGATTCAAACACTATGGATGTATAGAAACTTTGCATGACAGTATATTCCTCCAAACCCTGACCTACTGGAAACAGACAAGGGTTGAGATGAATAAACTTCAAGCTACTGAAAAAATGTATAGAATACGATGTTGAAAATTATATTAAAGATGTGGGGTTGTAAAGCAAAAGATACATTGCAAGACAATTTGGACATGTATTGGACACGTCATGATGTGACAAACTGTAACATCATCTAAGATTTATCTCCAACTTGCCAGTTAGTTGTGAATTATTCCAATCACTTTAGAATAACTTTCATTCTTTTTGCAGAGATTACAGTGAGTGAGGCACAATACACAAATAACCCGCACATAGAAGAGAGAAGCTTATGACGACGTTTCGGTCTGACTTGGACCATTTACAGTCACACTAACGAAAAGGAGGGAGGGAAGGGTAAATATAGGCAGGTGGTGGTGGTAGTGGTAGTGGTAGTGGTAGTGGTAGTAGTAGTGGTAGTAGTAGTGGTAGTAGTAGTAGTAGTGGTAGTAGTAGTGGTAGTAGTGGTAGTAGTGGTAGTAGTGATAGTAGTGGTAGTAGTAGTGTGTGGTAGCAGTAGTGGTAGTGGTAGTAGTAGTAGTGGTGGTGGTAGTAGTAGTAGTGGTGGGTAGTAGTATGTAGTAGTGGTGGTAGTAGTAGTAGTGGTGTGTAGTAGTAGTGGTGGAGTAGTAGTAGTGTGGTAGTGGGGTAGTAGTAGTAGTGGTGGTAGTAGTAGTAGTGGTGGTGGTAGTAGTAGTGGTGGTGGTAGTAGTAGTAGTAGTAGTAGTAGTGGTGGTGGTAGTAGTAGTAGTAGTGGTGGTAGTAGTAGTGTAGTAGTGTGGTGTAGTAGTAGTAGTGGTGGTGTGTAGTTGAGGTAGTGGTGGTAGCAGTAGTAGTGGTAGAAGTAGTGATGGAGGTAGAAGGTAGTAGTAATAGTGGGGGAGGAAGGAGGGGGAGGAGGAGCCAGTCAAATACTAAGAAAGATGAGCTAGGTGCCCAAGGACCGAAACGTCATCGTAAGCTCCTCTCTCCTATGTGCGGGTTATCTGTGTATCGTTCCAGTCACGGTATTATGCCTTTTTTTGTTATTTAGTGAGGTACAACAGTGTTGGATAAACAATATACATGTACTTTGTGAAAAAAAAGAAAAGAGGGGAAACCCTTCAAGATGACTGTTTTTATGTCTTAACAGCTATAAAGGTGTTGGTGTATCATGTTTAAATATAAGTGCTTTCAGGCATTTCTGTCATGGCCAACCCTTGGAGGAGACTTTCCAGGGGTAAGAAGGAATCAGAGATATACACGTAAGTATCCATTACACTGAAGATTAATTAGGTCCTATTAATTTTAAGAACAGAAGCATAATAATCCTAATAAAATGAATTGAAGTAAATTAATAGTAACAATATTTAACCAATACAGTAATTAAATTACACATGTACATCACATACATTTATTAAGTTATTTTGTATTTTTACCACCGTAGCAAGCAAAATATCTCAACACACCCATGTATCTTATAAAAAAAAAAAGTGAGGATCCACAAGCACAGAGCTTTCAATAGTATACTTCATTAATGTGCCATATTTTACTGGCTTTTAAATGAACCACCTAAATTTTTAAACTACTGTAGCATAATCTTAAGGTATATTCCTGCTGTATATGACTGTATAACAAGCACTGCCCCCTCCCACCTCCTAAAATGATAGAATATAAATATAAACCTATACTGACAGGGGCTGTGTCTGTTACTGTCTGACAATTTAATGCTCTTGATTCACTTCATGCAGATAAGAGTAAAATGAAAATGGAACAAAATGCTTTAGATTTTCTATGGAAATAAAAAGTTTATGACACTAATAACAAAAATATCCACATATAGTATTAAATAATATTAGACATTTACAGAGTGTCCAACTTTATTCTCTTTCGTTCCTTAACCCTGCGTCCAACAGTATCATCACAGACATCACAATTATCACTGTCCTCATCACTGGAACAGCGTTTCAGACCACCAGAATCCATATCATCATCTAAATAACGTTTACAGGAGCGAGACATTGACAAATCCTCGGCACACTCCTGACCATCATCCCATCGATGTTCTGAATCCTGAGACGCAGCACATGCATGGAACGCAGAGTAAGGTTGGGAGGCAATGACAGGCTGAGACTGTGTGACGGTAGTAGAAGGAGACAAGGCATCAGATGCAGTTTGAGCACAAGGAGCAGACAACAAACATGAATCAGCCACCGGTTGGGAGGTACTGAGTTGAGGGTGGGATCCTAGCGAATGTTGCGAGATGTACACTCTGTGACTGACATTCGAGTGAGAGGTAGCCACAGTGGAGGCAGTCTCTCTCTGGGATTCATCTTTACTCTGAGAGGCAACTGTGGCTTGTGAGGAAGAAAGGCCTGAGAGCAGAGCCTGAGGCTGAGAAGCTGGAGTTTGTGATTTATGAGAAGCCACTGTAGGCCTGGTATGGTTATGTATGTCTAAATCAAAAACACGTTCAAGGTTCCTCACTGAGCCCCCAACTGCATGCCACCTGTCTCGACCCTCATCTCGAGCAAGGATGACGCCCGGAGGACTATCCTTCTCTGCACTCTCTGGAACTGGAGCAGCAGCAAGGGGAACATACACAACAGCTTCATCACTACCCTGCATTAAAACACCAGCTTGAAGCTGCTGGCCTGACCCCTCCCCAACTGACTGGCCACAACTATAGCACAACAATGGGTGTGCTGGTGACTTGGACCGCCAGTACTGAAGTTCAGTCTTACACTTGTTCAGCTCCTAAAATAAATACAAAATAGATAAAGCATTAGCAATTTGGCAAAAGCCTACTACTCAGGATATTCCAGTCCCATTTCCTCAGTGACTTTTAGATCCTGAGATTAATTATTTAAAGACTAGGGATTCCCAGTTAGTTCAAATGCACGACTAAGTATTTCCTTAACAAATATTTAAAAACCCTAAGTAAAGTGATTACAGTGGTTTTTTTTTTTTACTTATCAACTACTTATGCAAAAAGCAAAAAATTTTAATAGCATCACTCAATGAATTATACCTTGAAAAATTTATTATTTTTCCCTGGACAAAGAGGGTAACCACATAATTTTATAGCCTATATACTATTAGACATGTGAACCATCACTTTCTCAATACAGTAACCAGAATAATTCATGGCTAACCTACAAGTCAGAGACAAAACTTCTGACAATGTTTTAGTCTGTGCTGAACCACTGTTGTCATAAATGGAAATGATGCAAGTCCAGGATGCACTGAATGACACTGTAAATTCTGTTTTCAAATTGTAGATCAGTTGTGAATTATTAGACTTAAATATATATTTTTTTTACATATACAGTAGACCCTATAGTAACAAGCTTTATTCAATTGCTTCTTCTTGATATGCAAGCATATGTAGAGGATTAAAGTGGTCCTGTGTACAATATCTGTACAGACATATAGCAGGCAGTGTCAGATACCATCACCACCACCACCTACCACTACTAAGGTCAGGGAGAAGCTTGTTGCTGGCTCAATTTAGTGTGTGTTCCTTCATAGAAACTGGGAAGCAGGGCTCAATTTGGCCCAAGTTGTAGCAGCCCTCAAAATCCTAACAACTACAATGTAGCGAAGATCACTACGCAGGTTTTTTGTTTTATAACTTTTCACGCTATCATCAATCACAAACATTTAACAATTGTATAGATATAGTTAGGGTTGGTTAAATGACTTATAAAGGCATAGGCTGTGTAATTAGTGTATTTCTGGGTTACTGGCATTTATGTAGACTCATCCCCCTACACATCTTTAAGCATATCTAATAACTGAATTTTCTTAGAAGCTTGTCAGCTTCATTATTTTTTTTTCTCGACTCCTCTAGCATTATGTACTAGCATTACTTTTGGGTCCCATGTAAATATCCAGATAATATGGGGCAATGATAATATCCAAAATCATTCAATAAACACTGGCAAGTCAAGCGATGCTGAGCCTCCCCTAAAAGCAACAAATGCCATGCCTTGTGCTACCATACGGCCACCAGCTATTTCACTCGTCACTCTCAATTCCATCATAAATTATGGCAGAGGTTTCCAGTGCAAATCATATTCTGGTTGCACCTTAGTGAATCATGTGCTGCTGAATTAACATTAATGAGGGTCATATTTTCCTAAGGTCTACTGTATATGGACTGGGGATCAAACTATATGAGTTTGTGTTTAATGCTAAAACTTGCTAGTTATTATTCAGTACAAAGGTATTATGCAGCCACAAATTCATCAATAAAGCATTTATCTAATACTGTATTTTGAAAATAAAACTAACATAACTAGTTTCAGAACATTAATGCATCGACAGTTTTCCACTGAGGCACAGTGACCCAAAGAAAAACACATTCACAGCTTGTCCTGTTTACTGACGAACCTTACCTAACCTAACCAACCATCAAATCATTCCGGAGCTGTCTTTCTAGAAATCTATGAACTTCCCAGTCCAAATGATCCACTAAGTTGTAATATCTGTACTCATCTAACAGTGTAGGTACTGTAATTTCCACCTATAAAACTCAATTCTGACTAATCAGTTCCTCAGAATCCCTTAACCCGTAAACGGTCCAAACGTATATATACGTTTTTTCAACATTTGAAAGTATGTAAAAAAAGTAGATCTTTTTTGTTTTTTTTTTACATTTGAAAATGTGTAAAAAAAACTTTGATCTACTTTTTTTTTTATATTTGAAAATATGTAAAAAAACGTAGATCTACTTTTGTAGCACTACACATGTGAACGTAGATCTGCTTGGACCGTTTATGGGTTAATAGATGCTTCCTTAGTCTCTCAAGAGCACATTAAATTTGAAATTCATTTGCATTTGCTTACTCCAATCTAATGCATTCATACATGCCTGATGAATGCTCAAGCCAGGCTGTGATGGATATGTGGATCAGCGAGCCTCCAGCAGCAAGAGCCTGGTTGACCAGGCTACCACCACCCAAGCCTGGCCTATGGCTGGGCTCAGAGTAGTAAGACTTGAAACTCATCAAAGGTATATTTCAAAACTTATACATAATTCTTCCAACTCTTCCTGGGATGTCCCCTACACCTTATTCAATACACACCAGATTTATCCAAATTTCTGGTCACCACATCTGATTCCATCCTTTCTTAATGACCCTTCCTGGGATGTCCCCTACACCTTATTCATTACACACCAGATTTATCCAAATTTCTGGTCACCACATCTGATTCCATCCTTTCTTAATGACTCAACAACCCTCTGTCTGCTCTCCCAACTATACCTTTCACAGTACCACACAATCTACTTTCTTCACTAGTTTAAAATAGTTGGTGAGATGGGCTCCTGGCACTGAGGCATTATCAAGATAATTTATATGGTCTACAATTATATCCCATTTACTCTTGTAAATATTAATTACAAATTTACACAGTTTTGTGTCTGTGTAAAATGTTATAGAGAAAATTGAGAGAGAGACTCAAACAATTGCAGTGTAAATAAAGTAAGAATGATGTGGTGGTAAGAGACTAACCTGGAGCACAGTACTGAATTTACGTGAAGATTCCTCAAATTTCTTATCATACTCATCCATGCGTGTTGCATACTCCATCATCTGTTTGTGTTGGTCAGCTATTTTGCCTTTACATCCTTTCAGCTCACGTTTTAGAGCAACTAACTGTGTGTTATACCTGAAATGAGAAGTAAATAAAAACAACTCGGTAACATGCCAAACTCACTGATTCCTGATGAGAGGAAAGTAAACAATACATTTTCAGACAATACTTATAGTAAAATTATAGCAAATTATAAGTCATTAAATAGGAACAAGAAAGATACAAACTACTCAGGTAATTATTTTTAAATATCACTCGAATACTCTACAGTATCACAAACTGTGTTGAATTTAATCCATTAAGCGAAACAAAGCTGAAGGGGGTAGGAGAGTTTCAGTGGGGGGAAATAAATGGGATTAAATCTGGAGTATCTGAGAGAGTTAGAGCAAAGGAAGGGGTAGCAGTAATGTTAAATGATCAGTTATGGAAGGAGAAAAGAGAATATGAATGTGTAAATTCAAGAATTATGTGGATTAAAGTAAAGGTTGGATCTGGAGAATGGGGTCAAAAATAAGCGTGTATGCACCTGGAGAAAGAGGAATGCAGAGGGGAGAGAGAGATTTTGGGAGATTTCAAGTGAATGTATAAAGGAGCCTTTGAACAAGTGAGAGAGTAATTGTGGTAGGGGACTTGATATGCTAAAGTAGGAGAAAACTTTTAGAGAGGGTGTGGTAGGTAAGTTTGGGGTGCCAGGTTGTAAATGATAATGGGAGCCCTTTGAATTGAACTTTGTATAGAAAGGGTTTAGTTATAGGTAATACTTATTTAAGAAAAAGAGGATAAATAAGTATACACGATATGATGTAGGGCGAAATGACAGTAGTTTGTTGGGATATGTATTGGTAGATAAAAGACTGTTGAGTAGACTTCAGGATGTACATGTTTATAGAGGGGCCACAGATATATCAGATCACTTTCTAGTTGTAGCTACACTGAGAGTAAAAGGTAGATGGGATACAAGGAGATAGAAGCACAGGGAAGAGAGAGGTGAAGGTTTATAACTAAAAGAGGAGGCAGTTAGGGTAAGATATAACAGCTATTGGAGGAATAGATGGGCTAATGAGAGCATAGCAATGGGTCGAAAGAGTATGGGGTAGTTTTAAAAAATGTAGTGTTAGAGTGTTCAGCAGAAATTTGTGGTTACAGGAAAGTGGGTGCAGGAGGGAAGAGGAGCGATTGGTGGAATGATGATGTAAAGAGAGTAGTAAGGGAGAAAAAAGTTAGCATATGAGAAGTTTTTACAAAGTAGAAGTGATGCAAGGAGGGAAGAGTATATGGAGAAAAAGAGAGAAGTTAAGAGAGTGGTGAAGCAATGTAAAAAGAGAGCAAATGAGAGAGTGGGTGAGATGTTATCAACAAATATTGTTGAAAATAAGAAAAAGTTTTGGAGTGAGATTAACAAGTTAAGAAAGCCTAGAGAACAAATGGATTTGTCAGTTAAAAATAGGAGAGGAGAGTTATTAAATGGAGAGTTAGAGGTATTGGGAAGATGGAAGGAATATTTTGAGGAATTGTTAAATGTTGATGAAGATAGGGAAGCTGTGATTTCGTTAAGGAAAGGATTAACAATCTTTGTAGATGTAAAGAAGAGCTTGTAGTTGGGGGTAATTGTGAGGCAGTAGGTAAAATGAAAGGGTTAAGGTTCACTTGAATGGTAAAGATAGAAATGTTATTAGAGGGAATAGTTTTGGATGGTTGGCAATTATTTAATAATGATGATGAAGGTAGGTACCTAGGGATTGGCAAGAGCATGCATTAGTTTCCTTTGTATAAATGGCAAAGGGGATAAAAGAGAGTTGCAAAAATTGATGGGAAGTCGCGAAGTGTACCTGGTAAAGTGTATGGTAGAGTATGATGGAACAGAATTAAGTAAGACTGAAATAGCAAAGGTATACAAAGCTTTGAAAGTAGGGTTGTGACCAGGTGTTTACATGAAACATAAATCGAACAGTTTTAATAGGAAATCTTTGTGCATTTAATGACTTAAAAGGGTATACGGGTGATAGGGGGGGCAATGTGGCAGATTTGCAATGAATGGTGTTAGGAGGTAGTTACTAAAGCAACGAAGGTTTTACCAGGATAGTGAGGCTCAAGTAGAGTTAGAAAGAGGGAAATTTTTTCCAGTAAAAGTAGCCTTGAAAGGATGTGTGTGCACCGGGTTGTTTATAATTTATAGATGGGGTTTGTAGAGAATAAATGCGAGGGTCTTGGCAGAGGCGTGGAGTTAAAAGATAAAGAATCACACACAAAGTGGGAGTTGTCACAGCTGCTCTTGCTGATGACACTGTGCTCTTGGGAGATTCTGAAGAGAAGTTGCAGAGATTGGTGGATGAATTTGGTAGGGTGTGCAAAAGAAGAAAATTAAAGGTGAATACAGGAAAGAGTAAGGTTATGAGGATAACAAAAAGATTAGGTGATGAAAGATTGAATATCAGATTGGAGGGAGAGAGTATGGAGGAGGTGAACGTATTCAGATATTTGGGAGTGGACGTGTCAGCAGATGGGTCTATGAAAGATGAGGTGAATCATAGAATTGATGAGGGAAAAAGAGTGAGTGGTGCACTTAGGAGTCTGTGGAGACAAAGAACTTTGTCCTTGGAGGCAAAGAGGGGAATGTATGAGAGTATAGTTTTTACCAACGCTCTTATATGGGTGTGAAGCGTGGGTGATGAATGTTGCAGCGAGGAGAAGGCTGGAGGCAGTGGAGATGTCATGTCTGAGGGCAATGTGTGGTGTGAATATAATGCAGAGAATTCGTAGTTTGGAAGTTAGGAGGAGGTGCGGGATTACCAAAACTGTTGTCCAGAGGGCTGAGGAAGGGTTGTTGAGGTGGTTCGGACATGTAGAGAGAATGGAGCGAAACAGAATGACTTCAAGAGTGTATCAGTCTGTAGTGGAAGGAAGGCGGGGTAGGGGTCGGCCTAGGAAGGGTTGGAGGGAGGGGGTAAAGGAGGTTTTGTGTGCGAGGGGCTTGGACTTCCAGCAGGCATGCGTGAGCGTGTTTGATAGGAGTGAATGGAGACAAATGGTTTTTAATACTTGACGTGCTGTTGGAGTGTGAGCAAAGTAACATTTATGAAGGGATTCAGGGAAACCGGCAGGCCGGACTTGAGTCCTGGAGATGGGAAGTACAGTGCCTGCACTCTGAAGGAGGGGTGTTAATGTTGCAGTTTAAAAACTGTAGTGTAAAGCACCCTTCTGGCAAGACAGTGATGGAGTGAATGATGGTGAAAGTTTTTCTTTTTCGGGCCACCCTGCCTTGGTGGGAATCGGCCGGTGTGATAATAAAAAAAAAAAAAACATTACAAAATGTAAAATTTGTATACCTGTACTGTATTATTTTATATTCTGAGAGGATGGAGCAAAAGAGGATGACTTGGAGGGTGCATAAACCTTTAGTGAGGGGGAAGGCAGGATAGGGGTCAGCGAGTATTTAAAAAAATATATAGAACTACTGCAACTATGAATTAGATTAAAATCAATATTGGGAGAGGAGGTACATACTATACCAATGAACTTAATAATCTAAAAAAAATCAATAATTACATTGGTAGCATGATCTTCATATATAAAAATGAAGGAACAATGAAGGAGGCCTACTGGGCCATGGTAGGCAGCTCCTTACATTTTAATGAACTGGTAATAAAACTGTAGAGATTGAATTCACTACACACTGACAATTATGGGAACTATACCCATTCTTTACAACAGTATAGCTTGTGACAATTAAGGGACATATCCCTGGTCATTTCAACACTATGACTGACAAACAAGGTGACACTCTCTCCCCCCTACAACAGTATGACATGTGAAAATTTCACAAGATTTTTAACCCTGAATTTCAGGGTCCAGAGGTCAAATTTCAAAGTGTGCACCAGTGTCCAAGAATTTTCAAAAAATAATTTTATTATTTTTTCTTATGAAATGGTAGAGAATATTTTTATGAAGGTAATAAAAGAAAAAATATGAAATTTGATGGAAAATTGACAAAATTATGCTCTAGCGAATTTTTATGTGTCAGTGATATTTATGCATCAGTGATTTTGCCTCCCATTTTAGGCCAATTACATTATTCCAGTCGACGAAATTCTTAGCCATTTCACTAGTATTACTTCTATTCTATCAATTGAGCACAAGAATTCGCCAATTCAACTGTTTCAACTACAAAATAAATTATTATTATAATCAAAGGGAAGCACTAAACCCGTAGGATTATACAGCGCCTGGGGGGGAGGGTATGGAAGGCATTCAGGCTTAATTCAGGGAACTGGAGCACAGATCCAATTCCCTAAATCAAGAGCCCCTCACCAACATCAAGGAACCTTCCGTGAGGGGCCTACAAAATAAAGTGATCGGAAATTGGTAATTTGGCCAATTTAATGCAAAATTCAAAATACAGTGGACCCCCGGTTAACGATTTTAATCCGTGCAAGAGGGGTAATTGTTATGCGAAATAATCGGTATGCGAATGAATTTTCCCCATAAGAAATAATGGAAATCAAATTAATCCGTGCAAGACACCCAAAAGTATGAAAAAAAAAATTTTACCACATGAAATATACATTTTCCCACACACAAAGAGAAGGATACATGCACAATAGTAGAGTAGTACATGCACAATATATATTGTGCATGTACTAGTCTACTAAATGAAGAATAAATGACACTTACCTTTATTGAAGATGCAGCAATGACTGATGAGACACTGTGTCCTGGGAGTGCCTTTTCCTCCTGAGTACTGTAGGTCCTGTTTGGCATTTTCTTCCAGAACAGGCCTTATCACACTGTGTATGCCACTACGATTCTTAAATTTCTCAAACCAACCTTTGCTGGCTTTAAATTCACCAATATGAGCACTAGTTCCAGGCATTTTTCCCTGTTCACCTGGGTGTTAGTCGACTTGTGTGGGTTGCATCCTGGGAGACAAGATTAAGGACCCCAATGGAAATAAGTTAGACAGTCTTCGATGACACTGACTTTTTTGGGTTATCCTGGGTGGCAAATCCTCTGGGGTTAATTGTTTCTTGGTATTCTCAATAAGCCACACCAATAACGGTGCTACAGCAGCAGCAGCAGCTGACAGTGCAGCAGCAGCTGACGGTGGTACAGCAGCAGCAG